TTTCATTTCTTGAAAAGAGGAGACCAGACTAGATGTTTTCAAGTCTCTTTTCCAGCACCAACAGCTTTCATTTTTATCTTCTCCCACCAAAATCTAGAAGCTGTAGGGCAGAAGCTACAAACAGAGACGGCCCCAGGGTCCGGGCTGGTACGTGAGTGAAACTTACCCAGTGGGACCGGGAGCCAACGGAACACCACACACCCCCACCAATCCTACAGCTGGGCACATCAGCCCATCCTCTGGAGATTCTGTTTCCCAAAAGACCTCAGAAATCCTTTTTTATTGTTGGAGTCTAACGCAATTTTTAAGAAAATCTCTGTTGGCTACACGAATCTCATCCGTGGACAAGGCGTGACAGAGATTGCTTCAGATACATGACAGCTAAAAATCTGGAGCACTCAGATTCTATTCCCATAAGTGACCCCCCCTTCAGAATTTTCTGACCTCCTCCGTCACCCCAGATTGGTCTCAGTTTAAATTTATAGTTCCAAGCTCCCCTTCTAAGCTCCAAACGCAATTAAAATGTTAGCCAAGCCACAACACCACATGGTTGTGAAAGTGGCTTTGTCTCTAATAACTGGGACAGAAAAGTCAGCCTAATGTGCCAGTGATAAGTGACAGATGCCCCAACTCTCAGTTTTCATTCGTGATGCTATGCGGGGAATTCAAGGATTCTGCGAGCCATTAAAATCTGTGTTTTATGGTAAATACATTCAACTTATGCTCCAATAAAATTGCAAATAATTACTGTCTAGAAAATTCTAACCGTTCACTGAAGCAGTTACTTGTCAAAGCCACAAATATTGCTGCACTAACAGGGCATAAGCACTAGGTGGCAGCATTATATCATTAAACATTCTCCCTACTTGAGATTGAGGTAATGTTTTTTAAAAATCGTCTTGGCACAATTCAAATCAAGCTACATGCCTTCTAGATCTCTTCTTAGCTGATTCATGTCTTTAGGTTTTTTTTTTAAGATTTTATTTATTTGACAGAGAGAGACAGTGAGAATGGGAACACAAGCAGGGGGAGTGGGAGCAGGAGAAGCAGGTTCCCCACTGAGCAGGGAGCCCGATGCGGGGCTCGATCCCAGAACCCTGGGATCATGACCCGAGCCGAAGGCAGACGCTTAACGACTGAGCCACTCAGGCGCCCCTCATGTCTTTAGAATTTATTTTTAATCAATTATGATTATTCAAAGTCTATTATTATCGTGGCTTAAGTCACTCAACCCAAATTAGGCCTTAAAGTTTTAGAAAGTTCAGTTACCTATACCTTCAGGGTTAAATGGCATAAAATTGCATAAGGGGAATGTTTTTTAACAAAAGCCCTTGCTTATTATTAATCTATTTGTGTCAGAAGCCCTTGGGAGTGATGAATGCTGCATTTTCTAAGAGAAATCCTGGAGGGTTAGGATTCATGTTTTAGAGTCCAAGAAGTACCAAACAGTAGTGCAGAAGACAGAGTAGAAAATAAACAAAGAATCTGTTTTAAAGTCCAGGAATCACACCTCTGTGTGCTCTGGAAATAAAACCCATCTTCAGGTCTCAACCGTAGTGCTTAAAAACCTGGCCCCCCAGCCACTCGAGAGTCAGACCGTCCCTTCCCATCCCCCCTTCACCCACTCATCCTCAACTCTGTTTTCAGTTTGCCACTGGACACTGCTCTCTCCTTGCAAATTCAAAACAGAACATATAATTTACCACAATAAAAGTGTGTGTGTGTGTGTGTGTGTGTATGGAGATAGATGGATATTCATTATGCCATAATATCAACAAATATCCAGAAAGGATTCTTTATTTTTTTAAAGATTTATTTATTTATTCATCTATTTATTTATTTATTTAGTGAGCAGGGGGAGGGGCAAAGGGAGAGGGAGAGAATCTCAAGCAGACTACCCACTGAGCATGGAGCCCAAAGTGGGGGGGATTGATCTCATGACCCTGAGATCATGACTTGAGTTGAAATAAAAAATTGGACTCTTAACCGACTGAGCCACCCAGGAACCCCCCAGGAAGGATTCTCATAATTTTCAATTATTTCATAAATGTCCTCAATTCTTTATTTTTTTTTTTAAGATTTTATTTATTTATTTAAGAGAGAGAGCAAGAGTGGCATGAGGAGCAGAGGGAAAAGCAGACTCCCCGCTGAGCAAGAAGCCCGAAGCGGGGCTCCATCCCAGGACCCTGGGATCATGACCTGAGCCGAAGGCGGACGCTTAACTGACTGAGCCACACAGGCGCCCCTGTCCTTAATTCTTTAAAAAAACAAAACAATCGTGCGTTCTTTTTGTGATCGCGGGCCCTCTCTTACACAATTACATCTGGCTAACGTCTACATTTGGACCTGGGGATCCACTGCTGGGAGAAGCCATGCTAAGGCCAATAGGCAGGTTTTTGACCTGGGCCACTGACCGGGAGGGCTCACTCTCTTAGTAACCCCTCCCAAAATGGAGGACAAAGCTGCCCCGTCCCCATTCCTAGAGGAGGCACAGAAGCAAATGCCTGGTCATTTCAGAAGAACCATTTTTATCCCGGATTTCAGGAATCATGAGTTCAAAAATAACACAGCAATTCTCAGAGCAGCCTGATACAAGCTGAGCAATATTTTCATTGTAAAGGAAAAAGATCTCTTTTGCTTTCCTTCCTTTTTTTCTCTTTTCATTTCAGGAGACAAGAAGCCGATATATTGAATCATTCCTTTCATGAGGGACACCTGTCAGCCCTAGAGGACCTTCAGAAAACCTGAAGGAAGTTACAGACACTCTCCGTAAAAAGCTTGCATGCGCTGAAGCTAAAAGTACACATTTTCAGAGGAGTGGGGGATCAGGGACCCACCGTGGCCCCCGTGTGAAGAACCTTTGGCACGTTCAACCTTCATTGTCTGTGAGAGCCGTGCTGTGCACAGATGGAAGATACTAGAACACACTCAGCCGAGCAGAATGCACCCGACCATCTCCCTCTCCTCAACCTAAATACCCACTTCCTAATGCGTTTGTTTGCTGCTTGCCTGGCATTTTATTTTCTATTGTTTGGCCTTCACCACACAAGGCCTGGAGGGGATCTGTAGTGTGTCTCTCAGAGAACCAGCGCCGAAAGCCACATCCATGTAAGTCACAGGGATGAAAGGTACAGCACAGGGGAGTCAACAGTGTTGTGTGGTGAGAGATGGGTCTACAGACTTGTGGAATCACTCTGTTGTACTTCATCTGAAACTAAGTAGCCTTGTGTGTCAACCATAGTCAATAAAAAAACTAAACTAAACAAACGACAAACAAATAAATAAAAGGAAGCTGAGGGGACTAAAAAAAGACAATCGACGCCAAGGCAAAGCGCCAGACTCTGGAGCTTGGCTGGTGGGCGAATAAATTGGGCCACACAGTCTACAGGGCAATTTGGCGATCTACCAGGTGACTTAAAATTCTGCACATGTCTTGACCTAGCACTCCTGCTCCTGGAAATTTATCCTGAGGAAATAATCATGTGGGTGGTGCAGCCAAAAGGGTAGAGTCATAACAGTGGTTCTATAATGGAAAAATTAGAAATAAACTGTCTGACCATGTTGGAAATGTTAAACCAGCTCTGGGACTGCCATTACACAAAATAATATTCAGCCTTTATATCAGGTCGATAAAGGTTAGTGGTACTATTGGGATATATTTAATATATTAAGCAGGAAAAGCAGAGTCTGAAAGAGTTTCTAAATGATTCTATTTTGATAATATCTATTTTGCTAACATACCCTGAAATACTCTGCACAAAGTGGTTAACAATAATGCCTTGGATTCTATAATTATGGTTGGTTTTATATTTTGTCCCTTCTTCCCTTTGATTCTTATTATTTCTATCTGTATTTTTCTACAATTCATACATATTGCTTATACAATAAAGAAAAATAAGTGTGTTACAAACATGAGTACAGTCTGAGGATCCTCGATCATTCAGGTCAGTGGCCCAAAAAGACAGGAAAATTGGAAAGCAAGAGAGGTAGGCACCTGTCAAAATGAGCATCAACAGGAAAACTGAAACCAAGACACTTATCGCCACAGAGCAAAGCTTCAAGGTAGCAGCCAGTCCCCAAAAGGAGAAATTCCATGACGCACAGCGTCCATGGCAAGAACCAGAGAAGCCTGAGGTAACACTAACACCCACCAGTCCCCTCATTTTCTCCTTCTACTAAAGTGATTCTTGATATGGAAGATTTTCATACAAAGCTGATCATGAAATAAACCCAAGTTTCTAGAGCTTTATAAAAAGTGGCTCTAAAAGTCTTAGCCTGGCAAAAAGAAAATTTTTTATGTGCTCAGGCACATCCCTGCCCTAGTCCAAAGAAAACTGTCTCATGTGTAGATGAGAAATCTGTACCTTTTACCCTTTCCTACCTAAAGAAGATTAATAGCAGGATCCAACTTCTCTGTCAATGGTGCTTTTGAAAAAGGGACTTTGTTTCACATAAGAACATTTGAACTTGTTCCGTTGTAAGTGTGAGCACTTTTAACTCAGACACATGTTAAAATCTCAGAATAGGTTCCTTAGATTTGTGAGCCTCCATGATTTTTCCTACTATTATCTATGCTCCCAGTCTTATCTGCCTTTCCACAATCTAAGACCCATCTCCAAAGCATGGAATTCTTCAGGGATAAACCACAAACTCATCAATGACACTCTCATTTTTAAAAAAAAAATCCCAATTCTCTATTTGCATGACTCAAAGACTATCCTTTGTGACTGTATTAGCTGAGACCAAAACCTCAATGTTAAAATTACGGGTAGAATAATTTGACTTATATTTGGAGTTCCCATTTGACAAAAGTAATAAAAACTCAACTTTCATTTATTTGGAATTCCCTCCTTTTCATTGGTTGTATCTAAGTTTGGGGGGGGTTTATGTAAAGCCAAGGTCTTGAGAGGTGTGTTCCATGGTTCTTGGGTCATCATCCATAATGGTATCCCCCAGGCTACACCCAGCTGCCCCCCAAAGGCTGAGATCCGGAGTCACACCTGTGTGCATGCGTGGAAGTTCATCAACTTTGTGCCAATGGTTGTTTTCTCAAACCAAACACCAAGAGGTCTATCCAAATGGGATGAGTTCAGCGTGCTTTGGTGGTAGAGATGAGCATGGCTGCCTTCCAAACGTGATGAGTTCCGTGAATGAAAGAATCTCTAGCCTAGATGGAAAAAAAAAAAATCATTCCACAGATTCTACAACTGGAAACTAATTTTCTTTATCCAAGTATTTTTCCTAGGTCTTTTTATATTAAAGAAAAAAAGCTAGTTATAACTCATCTTCATTCAACTCTCTTAAACCTTCCAATTTTTTTTACATTTTAATGATTCTAAATTACATATTCTGGAGGATAATTAATTTAGACCTAGCATGTACTTATGTGGCATTAAATCACCCTGGTACAATATGCCACCTTCCCCAATGGATGCATTATCCCAGGGTTAACACTATCCTCTTCATAGGGTAATATTGTGCCTCTTTCCTCCTGTCAATCCAAGCTGTAGTAGGTGCTCCATAAACACAGGCCATCCTGTATCCCCTTGTGATGATGGCACATCCCTCCAAGAGCATGGGCACTGAACTGAGTGTTAGATTTGAAAACCAGCTCTGCCACTTAGTAACAAGGTAATCTTGACCAAATTACTTGTGTTCTCTACATCTTAATTTCCTCTTCTGTAGAATAGGGTAATAATAGTACCTGTCACATGGAGTTGTTTAAAGAATTAAATGATAGGGCACCTCGGTGGCTCAGTTGGTTAAGCGACTGCCTTCGGCTCAGGTCATGATCCTGGAGTCCCAGGATAGAGTCCCGCATCAGGCTCCCTGCTCAGCAGGGAGTCTGCTTCTCCCTCTGATCCTCCTCCCTCTCATGCTGTCTCTCATTCTCTCTCTCAAATAAATAAATAAAATCTTAAAAAAAAAAAGAATTAAATGATATAATGTACATCAAGCACACAGAAAAGTGTGTGATATGAATATAGGCCATTTTTAAGATTTCCATGAAATCAGGTCATAAATCAGATCATTCTGAAGTGAATCACGTTTTCTCACGCTACTGTCTGCAAGAGTGCTATGTACTTGTGTCGTTTTCTTAGGTTTTCGGTGGGGAAGGGGGTCATGTTTGTTTGTCTGCTTAGCGTCAAATGCCTAGTGGCTAAACCAGCAAAATCAAAATCAAAACAAAAATAAATTATGAAAATGTAAAAACCTTGTAATTAGACTCAAATTCTAGACTAGTACATCAACAAAACCTCTAATTCTGTAGATAAATAAAACTTCATCTTAAGAAATCTTACCACCAACATCCACTCTCCCAAGATAGCAATGCCCATATATACCAAGAGTGTCTAAATAGAGGCACCTGGGTGGCTCCATCGGTTGAGCATCGGACTCTTGACTTAGGCTCAGGTCATGATCCCAGGGTCCTGGGATCGGGCCCCACGTTGGGTTCTGCTCTCACGAGGAGTCTGCTGGTCCCTCTCCTTCCCTCTCTGTTCCTCCCTCTGTTTGCATTTTCTCTCTCTCTCAAATAAATAAATAAAATCCTTAAAAAAAAAAAAGTGTCTAAATATAAAAAGACCCATATAAAGGAAAAGTCAAAGAATTGTGCATGCCCTCACTTAATGGCACACTTCCAGAGGACAAGCCTCATGTATTCTGTAGACAGTGCAGGCAAAGAGAGCTTACCCTTCCAACAAAGACTCTAAGGAATTATAATTTGCAAGATATATTCCTTTGATACTGTGGATATTGACTCTTTCACAAATGCAAGTTACAATATTGGGGTTTTGTTCTTCTCAAACATCCCATGAAAAGGTCACCGATCAAGTACTCCTTAGCCAGGTAGCTAGATGCGTGTTGATTTAAAAATCCTTCTAAAGATAACTCTCTCTGCCGTGAAGAGGCCTTCTTAGCCCTGGGCGTTTCATTCATCATCCTTAGCTTTTGCTGAAAAAAAGTTGGCTTTTCACCTCTCTCTAAAGATCAAATCTACTGTGCTCAAGACAAATTGCTTCCTTCTTCGAGCCTTAAAAATATATGTTTACTTCTAAGTCCTAATGAAGATACATTACTTCAAAAGCCAAAAAGTAGAGGTCCCAGATACGCCTTCTGAGTGAATCCCAAGAAAGGTTGTTAGGTTGTGGGCGTAAGAGGTTTCTGCTGCCTTGAATCAATCCCTTAAAGTGTTCCTCCAAGGTCTCTGCAGTCGGTGCTAACCAGCAGCCTCAGAGGGTCAGAGAAGGGCCAGCTACTGGAAATGACTTGGACCCCTGACACAGCAACCGAACAATGAAATGATTCTTTTTCCCTTAAAGGAGGATAATCCTCCACTCTTTTCATACAATACGCTCAGAGGGGAAGACCAAAATAGAAGCGGAAAAATCTTTCCACAAAAGATGTAATAACAATTTTCTTTACTTGAGCCCATAGAAGGCAAGTGGTTAAGAGTATTCTACTGAACTAGGAGATACTCAGAGAGACATCAAGGTCCAGAAGAGTTCAAACGTCCTCCACTCAACTGAGAACAAACACATGACTTTGAAGGACAGACACCAGCTTCTTCTTTTCCCAGAACCTCAAAATGATGCACATTGCAGTCAGAGGTCTTTATGGAAAAACGAGGGGGGAATGAGGTGTGATGATCTTGAGCAATTTTCAAAAGAGCACTCAGCAAGACAGTGGCAGGTCAGGAAAACTGCTGTCCTGCCTCTGAGAGCTACATTTCATTTTCTCCAACACAAGAACTGATCCTGGGTGCCCAACTACTAGAGGACCACAGTTATACAAATGTTTCCTGTTAAGAAAACCAGCTGAAAATGTAATGTGGAAAAGCAAAATATCATCTCCACACACGTCTTAACTGTTCCTAAGATACTCCAGGCCACAACAACCTCTCCTGACTCTGGGATGCACAGATTCAGGTCCAGTGGTTTCCGACCTGGCTCCGTGGATGACCCTTTGGGGAGAACTTGGGAGAGTAAGAAGAGCCAGGTTAACTCTGCCTTTCTACCACAACTTCAACCAGCAAAGCTCTAAGCTTACCTGCTTCAAGGGGTCCATGATATTTAATTTTTTTAAACAATCGAAGCTAACCCTATACCTTCAAAAATGAAGGAACCAAAGCAAAGAGAAGTTACATAACCAGAAAGAAGTACTGTTGAAAGAATGAGTGGCAGAGGGGGGCGGAGCAAGATGACGGAGGAGTAGGAGTTCTGGATTTCGTCTCCTCTCGGGAATTCAGCTGGAGAGGGATCAAACCATTCTGAACACCTACAAACTCAACAGGAGATCGAAGAAAAGAAGAGCAACGACTCTCTCATCAGAAAAGCGACCACTTTCTGGAAGGTAGGACGTGCGGAGAAGTGAATCCGAGGCGATATTCGGGAGGATAGACGGCGGGGGAGGGGCCTCCGTCGGCCGCTTCTGGCAAGTGATAGAACCACGGAGCACAAAGTCGGAACTTTTAAAAGTCTGCTCCGCCGAGGGACGTCACTCTGGTGGCTAAGCGGGGGGTGGAACACTCCGGGACAGTGTGGTCTCAGGACCCTCGGGGTCACAGAAAGACCGGGGGTGCCTGAGTCTGACAGGGCTCCCAGGTAACGGAGCAGGGAAGCCGGCTGCAGAGACGGAGCCAAGGAGTGGGCTCTCAGCTTGGGGTGGCCATAAACCGTGATCCGCGGCCCAGTCGGGCCACTGCTCCTCCAGCAGGGACCCCACAAGCGGCAGATCCGGGGAGACTCCCCTTCCTCCCCCGGGAGGAGCCGCGTGGGAGTGCACCGCAGGGATCTGCTGGGTTTGGGGACTCCACCCGGGGTCGGGTGCCAGAGATAGAGGCGCGCGGTCACAGGCCAGGTGAGCACGGAGTGAAGCCGGAGACTGGGGAGACGGGAGTGACTGGCGGCTTTGCTCTGGGGGCTCACTGAGGAGTGGGGCCCCGAGTTCTCGGCTCCTCCGGGGCGGAGATTGGGAGGCCGCCGTTTTCACTCTCTGCCTCCAAAGCTGGACGGAAAGCTCGCAGGGAACAAAAGCCCCGGAGAGCAAACCCGAGCAGATGACTTAGCCGGGAGGGGGCAAGGGCGGGGCAATTCCGCCTCCGGCAGAGACATTTGGAAACCACGGCAACAGGCCCCTCCCCAGAAGATCAGCGAGAACAGCCAGCCAAGACCAAGTTTACCGATCAATGAGAACGGCAGAGCTCCAGCGCTAGGGGACTACTGCACATAGAATTCACGGCTTTTTTACCATGACTCTTTAGTCTTTCAAAGTTAATTTTTTTTAACTGTCTTTTTTTCTTTTCTTTTTTTTTTTTTGAATTTTTCTTTTTCCCTTTTTCAACCAATATCTTATTAATCCCTTTTTTAAAAAACATTTTTATTTTTCATTTTTAGAGTCATATTCTATTCCTTCATAGTAGTTCCCGTATTTTTGGCATATATATATATAAGTTGTTCTCTCTTTAAATTTTTGAGATAGTTTCTTCTAACAGATCAAAATATACCCTAAATCTCTAGTATATGGTTTTTTCTACTCCCCTGCCTGATCACATTCTATCCCTTTTTTTTCTTCTTTCTTTTTTTAAATCTTCTTCTTTCTTTTTTCAAACAACTTCTTATCAATTCCTTTTATAAAATTTTTTATAATTTCCATCTTTACAGTCATATTCCATCGCTTCATCATATCAACCCTTATTTTTGTACATATATAAGTTTTTCTTTCTTTAAAATTTTGGGAGGCACTTTCTTCTAACAGACCAAAATACACCCCAAATCTAGTGTGTGGCACTGATCTATATACCAGGCTGATCATATTTGATCACATTCTGGTTTTTTTTGTTGTTGTTGTTTATTTTTGTTTGTTTTTGTTTGTTTTTATCCTTATCTTTTTCTTTTTCTTTTTTTTCTTTTTCTTTTTTCTCTCTTTCCCTTTCTTTTCCCACTGCTTCAGGTCTTTTCTGATTTGTTTAGAGTATATTTTCTGGGGACGTTGTTACTCTGCTAGCATTTATTCTCTCATTAATCTATTCTCCTCTGCACAAAATGACAAGACAGAAAAAATCACCTCAACAAAAAGAACAAGAGGTAGTACCGACTGCCAGGGACCTACTCAATACCGACATTAGTACGATGTCAGATCTAGAGTTCAGAATCATCACTTTAAAGA